GTCAAGGGCATGTACCTTGGTTGCGGGCGCATCCCCAGTAGGGGGTGTGCAGGAGGCAGCTGATCGATGTATCTCTCTCATTGATGTTTCTAACTCTCTATCCCTCTCCCTTCCTCTCTGTAAAAAAATGAATAAGATATATAGTTTTTAAAAAAAGGAATCTCCATACTGTTATCCATAGTGGATGTACCATTTTATATTCCCACCAGTAGTGCACAAGGTTTCCAATTTCTCAACATCTTTGCCAACACTGGTTATTTTCTGTTTTGTTTTGTTTTTTGGTAATAGCCATCCTAACAGATGTGTTGTACATTTAAATTTAACTTCCAATTTCAATTTATTTTTGCCTATAATAGGAGGCATGGGCCAAGATTCTATTTTCTCTCAAAGAAATAGCTAATTGTACTAATGACATTTTGGATCATTTCCTTTTTTAAAAATTTTTATTTTTACTGATATTAAATACCATTTTTACCATACATTAAATTTCCCCATAAATGAGTTTTTTTTCTTTTCTCTTGTCTGTCTAATCCATTTTCTGGCATTTTTCTATTTAAAAAAAATATATATTTTTTATTGATTTCAGAGAAGGGAGAGGGAGAGAGAAACAGAAACATCAATGATGGAAGAGAATCACTGATTGGTTGCCTCCTGCAAACAACCACAATGCAACCCGGGCATGTGCCCTGACTGGGAATCAAACCTGTGACCTCCTGGTTCATAGGTCTACACTCAACCACTGACCCACGCTGCTGGCTGGGCTTCTGACATATTTTTCTATTTAATGCCAATACTACAATATTTTAAATATAACTACTAAGTATAACTAATGCCCGACCAATGTGGCTCAGAGTTTGAGTGTTGACCTATGAACCAGGAAGTTATGGTTTGATTCCGGTCAGGGCACATGCCTGGATTTTGGCTTGATCCCCAGTAGGGGCCCTGCAGAGGCAGCCAATCAATAAGTCTCTCTCATCGATTGTGGTAGCATAGTTAACCCTGTGACCTCTAAGCAACATAGAACTGTACACTTTATTTATTTATTTATTTATTTAGTTAAGGTTATTTTTATTTACAAGTTTTGAAAAATATAGATTTTTTACATGGGTTACTTGTGCAAAGTTAAATTTAGAAGAATGATAAATGCACTCCCCTCCTCCCAGTTCCCGCCCCACCCTCCGCCCTCACTCCCCACCCACTGTCCTCATCCATAGGTGCACGATTTTTGTCCAGTTTCTTCCCGCATCTCCCATTCCCCTTTCCCCCCCAAGAATAGTCAGTCCATTCCCTTTCTATGTCCCTGATTCATTATAATCACCAGTTCATTCTGTACATCAGATTATTTATTCACTTGATTCTTAGATTCACTTGTTGATAGATGCATGTTTGTTGTTCACAATTTGTATCTTTACCTTTTTCTTCTTCCTCTTCTTAAAGGATACCTTTCAGCATTTCGTATAATACTGGTTTAGTGGTGATGAACTCCTTTAGCTTTTCCTTATCTGTGAAGCTCTTTATCTGACCTTCAATTCTGAATGATAGCTTTGCTGGATAAAGTATTCTTGGTTGTAGGTTCTTGGTATTCAGCACTTTGAATATTTCTTGCCATTCCCTTCTGGCCTGCCAAGTTTCTGTTGAGAAATCAGCTGACAGTCGTATGGGTATTCCCTTGTAGGTAACTGAGTTTCTTTCTCTTGCTGCTTTTAAGATTCTCTCTTTGTCTTTTGCTCTTGGCATTTTAATTATGATGTGTCTTGGTGTGGTCCTCTTTGGATTCCTTTTGTTTGGGGTTCTCTGCGCTTCTTGGACCTGTAAGTCCATTTCTTTCACCAGGTGGGGGAAGTTTTCTGCCATTATTTCTTCAAATAGGTTTTCAATATCTTGCTGTCTCTCATCTTCTGGCACCCCTATTATTCTGATGTTGGTACGCTTGAAGCTGTCCCAGAGGCTCCTTACACTATCTTCGTATTTTCGGATTCTTTTTTCATTTTGCTTTTCCGGTTGGGTGTTTTTTGCTTCTTCGCATTTCAAATCTTTGGCTTGATTCTTGCGCTCCTCTGGTCTGCTATTGGGTGTAATATTCTTTATTTCAGAGCGTGTATGCTTAATTTCTAGTTTCTTTATCATAGCATCGAGGGTCTCATTAGTTTTCGTGAGGCTCTCCAGAAGTTTATTGCAAGCCCTCAAAATTGCGTTTTTTAGCTCTATATCCTCCATTTCTGTCATGTTTTTTTGTCTCCGCATTTTTTATGCTTTCTTGGTGCACCCCCTAGTGGTCTTTGTGCGCAGTCTTGTTCTAGTTGAGCCTTGATTGTTGTAGTTAATACTAGAGGGATTTGACCACCAGGCCGACTGGCTGTGTGAATCAGCTGTGTCTGCCGCGGAAAACTTCTGTCCTCTGGGGAGGTGCTAATCTAGCCTTTGCCTGAGGCGATCTGGCAAATGGCTCTGCGCAGGGCTTGGGCGGGGCGGGCTCAACAGGGCGGGCGGGCGGAGGGAGCGGTTATGGCCCCTCTCAGTCCCGTTCCCAGAGGCTCTGCTTCTCAGAACCCCCGGAACCGCTGCAAACCTCGGAGGGAAAGCTGCCTTCCAACTGATGCCAGACACTCCCGCTTCTCCCGTTTGGGTCCGAGTCCCCAGCGATTCGCCCGTATCTGGAGCTCAGAGTCTGAGACTCCCCCCTGACCGAAAACGACAACCGCGCTCTCAGCCACCAGCCCGCTTTGCGCGCGCACCTCCGCACCTGAGTTTTTTCCACACTGCGCCTCCTCTGAGCCTCGGTGTGCTGTTATTTTTCCTTCTAGTTGAAGAGTTTCTCCTCAGCCAGCCTTCCTGTGGTTCTGGGTGATGTCCGTTCCGTCTTTTAGTTGTATTTTTGAAGTGGTTGTTTGCGGCAGCAGTCTGCGGTGTTTACCTATGCCGCCATCTTGGTCTCCTTGAAAAACTTTAAGTCTCTCTCATCATTGATGTTTCAATCTCTCCTCCCTCTACCTTATTCTCTGAAATCAAGAAAAATATATAAAAAATAAATATAACTAGTTATATTTAATAACTAAAGCTTTATCATATAATTTGCTATTTGGATGAATAAGTCTCTACTCATTATTATTCATTAAAAATCATTTGCAAAATTACTTTCCAGATAAATTTGATAATCTCAGGTTATAATCAAATCATTTTGATTTGACATACTTGAATTTATGTGTCAAATTGGGAATAACTGTTATCTTACTATGTAAGAATATGGTATATTGCTCTATTTTCTCAACATTTCTTTTCTGCCCTTCACTAAAGTTTTATGATTTTATTTATTGAAGATATCTTATGAAGTTTATTCCTACTGATTTTATATATTCTGTTAGTGTTATACATGGAATCTTTGTATTATGACATTTACTAATCATTTACTTTTAATAGGAGACTATATTGATTTCTAAGTTTGTCTTATATCTGTTACTTTATTAAATTCTTTGCTTATACTTTGTAGTTTCTTTAAGTTTATTTTCCTTAATTTTTAAATACTCAGTTATTCACATGAATGTGTATAACTTTTATCATATTATATGTAATATAATGAATATAGTTAGAATATATAGCTGGGTTCAAAAGTAAAACAAATAAAATTTCTAAAAATTATAAAAATAAGAAAATTTGTACCCCTAGTGGCAATCTGGAGTTGAAACTTTCTAGGCATAGCATACTGTACAATGGAAATCAAGATTGCAACCCTGTGTCATTGCACTTTGGAATTGGTATCCCTGAGTGATGTAGCAATGGATAAGGAGTTGGCCCACATTCATATAATTTGCTATTTGGATGCATAAGTCTCTACTCATTATTATTCATTAAAAATCAGGAGCTGTGTTTGCAAAATTTTCAGATAAATTTGATAATCTCAGGTTAAAATCAAATCATTTTGATTTGACATACTTGAAATTATGAGAGATAATGCCTATAAGCAAGCTACTCACCAGGTGTCTGTTGGCAGTAAAGTCACCTGTGAGAAACCAGCATCTCCAAAACTGTGGTTCCTAGGGTTGTGGGCATTTCCCCATGATGGCTGGTTGGACAAAGTCTTAAATGTGTGCGAAACTGAAGACTGTGGCAGCTGTGTAGTAATCAACTTCCCTAAATCTCCTCCCTAAATTATACAAAATAACTTCACAACTATGAAAATTCTCCACAAGATCATAGTCGCAGTATCAAGGAACACAAAGAATGCTGAAGTTGTAAACTGTGATTAAAAAGAGAAAATTTAAAAATCCCAGCACAGGATCCTTCACACTCCCATCCCACTCTGTCCACTGTAAGGCTTTGTGGTTTACAAAGGTGGAGCAAGAAAAATTGCAGGTAAGAGAGGAGATAATGGCCAACAAAGGGTCCTGAGGTTGATTAGGTATGATCACTAGAAGGTAACTCACTCTTGGTCTGAGAGTTGAGAGAAGGGACTATACGAAAGAGATTTCATAATAAATGTGATTTAAAGGGTTAATTGTGCAACTTAAAGGGGAGGTTTTCACTAAAGGGCTAGGTGCGTGATTTAAAGGGGCAGGACTGATTTTAAAGGAGAGGTGAGATTTAAAGGTATAGTCTTCGAAATGCTTAGCTTCTGTTGAAGAAAGTTTTAAAAATATCAACGAATTACTCATCACCGCCTGAGTGGACAGGGGAGAAAAAAGAAAGGGAAAAATTTAGGGGCCTGCAAGACAAAAGGGAACTACGTAATTGAAGGATTCACAACCATTCACTCTCAGCAAAGCAAACAACAAGGACAAATTAACAGAAAATGTTTCATTTCTCTCTTTATTTTTCTTTCTCTGTTAGATTATGGTTTTGTTTGTAATAAAATACACAAACTTGAATTTTTTCACTTTTCTCTATTAGAGTTGATGGCGGTGATAATAATGAACACTGGTTACATACTTGGTGGATTCGCTTTGTTTTTGTCACAGTTATGGCATGGTCTACATTAATAGCATTTTTATGCTTTCCACGGCATATAAAAGGTGACTATACTGATATAATTAATTTAATTAAAGGACTGTAGGTTCCTCATCCCACCCTCACCTCTCCTTTCCCCTCCCCCTCATTCTCAGAATATGCTTGTACTACATTTCTCTTTGTCATAGATATACAGAGACGTGGGATAGTATTATCTGAACAAATGAAGCCTTGTGTGGCCAGATACTATTTTATTTATGTACCAGACTTTCATAAGTGAATATTTTTTGCTCCTTGCCATTTATTTTGAAAAATGCTTCATATCTAAAGTTTATAAGTTTTCTTAAAGAAAGACATCTATTTATCTAGTATCCTATATAATAAAAGGCTAATATGCAAATTGTCCCCTCAACTGGGAGTTCAACCAGGAGTTCCACCAGGGGGCAGGGCTGGCCAGCCAACCACCCGCAGTC